GACGAGAGCCTCAAGTGGTTCTCCGATCCCCACTACAGTGCTTGGTCTGGTCACAGCACTCTGAGTCACCTGCAGACAGAATGTCCTTCTCTCTCTCTCTCTCTAGGTTGGCAATGCTGGTGGTCAGCGATCCCTCCTGGCTCCTCTCCTCTCTCCTTCTGTGGCCTGGTCCGGTACTCTGGTGTCCACACAGTTCTCTCTCTACACTTCTGTTCTCTAGCCCTTGTCCCCCTCAGTTCCTGCCTCTGTTCCCCGGGCTTCTACATTTATATGCCTCCGCCCACACGCAAACTCTTCTGGGAAAAATGTAGTCCCCCAATTAGCTTCTAACAAAGTCCTGCAGTTCAGACTATAAAATCCATAAAGCTTTTACCAGAGTGTGTGTCACTGAGTTGCAGGACATTGCCACCTTGTATCTCTTTTAACATCCTGCAGTCTGAATAATAGCAGGGTGTTACATAGGCAAACACCTTCAAGTGGAACTATACTGTAATCTGCAATATGTATCTCTGCTCCAATGGTCTGATGGCTGCAAAGTCCCTCACCAGCATCTTCTCTTCAGCTTCTTCCAGGTGCTGGTCTTCAACTAATTTGATTGCCTGTTGCGGGATGACGCAGCTCCCACACATGAGCAGGACTTCAGTCATCCAAGCACACAGGCACTGTTCTGGAATGTAATCTAAGCTACATCTGCACAGCTCAGTGTACATTTTAACCACTTGCTCTCCTGAGGATTTACCCCCCTTCCTGACCAGGCCATTTTTTGTGTTATGGCACTGCATTACTTTAACTGACAATTGTGCAGTCATGCAATGCTGCACCCAAATTAAATTTACGTCCCTTTTTCCCATTTATTTCCCATTCCCATTTCCTATTTATGCTATAGGGCGGCGGGGAAGCGGTTAAAGAAGATTGTGAGCAGGCAGGTACCTTTAGGCTAGGTTCACAAGTATGCAGGTGCAGGACTGGGTGTAAATCACTTTCACCTGCAGAAAAAACACAGCTGCTGTAAGCAGATGTGTGGGGGTTGCCATTAATTCTTAATGTCACCCCACACACTAGAAACCGCAGATCATTTTTCCATGCTGGGAAAAGCATAGCATTATGCGGTTTCCCTGTTGCTGCAATTTTATAAAAGGTAAATATATGAACCAAGCCTAATTTTATTCCAGAAGAGACATTGCACGTCTCTTCTGGAATAAGGAACCTATTAACATTTTTTAAAATTTGACCCTAGTTCATGCCCTCCGCACATGTGGCCCTCAAGCTGCTGTGGGTCCTGTCTAGCTGTTGCATGCATGTACCACTAGATACAGCTTTCAGCTGCCATAGACATTGACAGGTTGCAGGCAGCAAGGCCAGATACTGCACCTGTTCCTCCTGGGAACACTAAAATGCCAGGAGGGACACAAAGCAACAAGAAAGCCTCCTTCTTCAAGAGGCCTAAAGTGTTTTTATTTTAAAACTTTACAGAGTTCTTAGTAAGTGGTTGGAGACATAAAAGTAACATTAGTGATAACTATGTATGAGCAAAACAAAATACAGATCCCCTCAGCAGAGTCCTGTAGAAAACCTGTGACTTGCAAAGGGCGCCCTGGTTCCCTCCAAGTACAGTCAGGTCCATAAATATTGGGACATCGACATAATTCTAACATTTTTGGCTCTATACACCACCACAATGGATTTGAAATGAAACAAACAAGAAGTGCTTTAACTGCAGACGGTCAGCTTTAATTTGAGGGTATTTACATCCAAACCAGGTGAACGGCGTAGTTATTACAACAGTTTGCATATGTGCCTCCCACTTGTTAAGGGACAGAATAATAATCATAAATCAAACGTTCACTTTTTAATACTTGGTTGCAAATCCTTTGCAGTCAATTACAGCCTGAAGTCTGGAACGCATAGACATCACCAGACGCTGGGTTTCATCTTTGGTGATGTTCTGCCAGGCCTCTACTGCAACTGTCTTCAGTTCCTACTTGTTCTTGGGGAATTTTTTCCTTCAGTTTTGTCTTTAGCAAGTGAAATGCATGCTCAATCGGATTCAGGTCAGGTGATTGACTTGGCCATTGCATAACATTCCACTTCTTTCCCTTAAAAAACTCTTTGGTTGCTTTTCCAGTATGCTTTCGGTCATTGTCCATCTGCACTGTGAAGCGCCGTCCAATGAGTTCTGAAGCATTTGGCTGAATATGAGCAGATAATATTGCCCAAAACACTTCAGAATTCATCCTGCTGCTTTTGTCAGCAGTCACATCATCAATAAATACAAGAGAACCACTTCCATTGGCAGCCATACATGCCCACGCCATGACACTACCACCACCATGCTTCACTGATGAGGTGGTATGCTTAGGATCATGAGCAGTTCTTTTCCTTCTCCATACTCTTCTCTTCCCATCACTCTGGTACAAGTTGATCTTGGTCTCATCTGTCCATAGGATGTTGTTCCAGAACTGTGAAGGCTTTTTTAGATGTCGTTTGGCAAACTCTAATCTGGCCTTCCTGTTTTTGAGGCTCACCAATGGTTTACATCTTGTGGTGAACCCCCTGTATTCACTCTGGTGAAGTCTTCTCTTGATTGTTGACTTTGACACACATACACCTACCTCCTGGAGAGTGTTCTTGATCTGGCCAACTGTTGTGAAGGGTGTTTTCTTCACCAGGGAAAGAATTCTTCGGTCATCCGTCACAGTTGTTTTCCGTGGTCTTCCGGGTCTTTTGGTGTTGCTGAGCTCACCGATGCGTTCCTTCTTTTTAAGAATGTTCCAAACGGTTGTTTTGGCCACGCGTAATGTTTTTGCTATCTCTCTGATGGGTTTGTTTTGTTTTCTCAGCCTAATGATGGCTTGCTTCACTGATAGTGACAGCTCTTTGGATCTCATCTTGAGAGTTGACAGCAAAAGATTCCAAATGCAAATAGCACACTTGAAATGAACTCTGGACCTTTTATCTGCTCATTGTAATTGGGATAATGTGGGAATAACACACACCTGGCCATGGAACAGTTGAGAAGTCAATTGTCCCATTACTTTTGGTCCCTTAACAAGTGGGAGGCACATATGCAAACTGTTGTAATTCCTACACTGTTCACCTGATTTGGATGTAAATACACTCAAATAAAGCTGACAGTCTGCAGTTAAAGCACATCTTGTTCGTTTCATTTCAAATCCATTGTGGTGGTGTATAGAGCCAAAAATGTTAGACTTGTGTCGATGTCCCAATATTTATGGACCTGACTGTATATGGAGGGAATATATACTGTGTTGTAGTATTCTTTTACAAATATAAATATTAACTATAAGGCCTAATGCACACTGGACGCTTTGACCATCTCTCTTGGACCCCATTGCTCCTGGTAGTGGCATTTCGGCAGAAAAAAACACTTGACTCTTGTAAATGCGTGTCAAATGTTAGGCACCTCAAACACCTGGAAGTTTTTTGTGGGAGAATTATATGTGAGGTAAGTGTGTTCCCAATTTCTAGCCAAACCTATTGTCACGTACCTGATTGGAGACTGAAATGACGAGGTCGGCCTCACTTGTGTCACTAGCCCTGACCCCACTGGAAGTGGAACAGAGGGTGTCTAGGGACCAGGGGGACAAGAGCGCCAGCAGATGTTGTTTGCAGCTCTTGCAGCTGGAGACCTTGGAAGACTGATGAACCTCCGATTCAGGAACAGTAGTGGTATGCAAAGCTGGTATGGTAGGTCGCCAGGTGTGCACCAGAGCAAGGCAGGAAGCTGGGATGGGAGACAGGAGCAATGTCAAAGAAATAGCCAGGGTCATCAACTCTGGACAGCGAGTTACCAAATCATAAGCAAGCCGAAGTCAGGAACAAGTATCAAGCAGAGGAGGAAACGAGAGTCAAGTCAGGAGCAAGCCGGGTCAGCAACAAAGGAATCACACAAGAGCAAGCAGAGCACGGGGGGAGCTGAAGACCAGTCAGCACTTAGCATAGGCAGAGGCACCCTTTAAATAGTCTGTCTGGCGCCAATCTTCGCTGTGCATGTGCGTAATCGCACATTTGTGCGCATGCGCGTGACCGATCACTCTTCTGCGGACATTTCTATGCGCATTTCTATTCGCCAATCATCTCACCGGGATTCCCTTACACCTATGTGTATCAGTAATTTTATTTTACAAACTCTAAAGGGAGTTGTTGGAGTAATACAAACAATATATTTGTGAGGTAAGTGTGTTCTTTCTCACATTCTAGGCAGATGGGTCATTGGTTCGAATCCCAGCCACAGCACCACCTGCCTGGAGTTTGCATGTTCTCCCTGTGCCTGCGTGGGTTTCCTCCGGGTCTCCGGTTTCCTCCCACACTCCAAAGACATGCTGGTAGGTTAATTGGATCCTGTCTAAATTGGCCCTAGTATGTGTACATATGAATGTGAGTTAGGGACCTTAGATTGTACGCCGCTTGTGGGTTAGAGACTGATTTGAATGTACTATATATATATATATATATATATATGTAAATCGCTGCGTAAATGGACGACGCTATATAAGCACCTGAAATAAATAAATGAATAAATAAATGTGTGTCAGTAATGTTATTTAAAGGATATGTTGGAGTCCTATAGATAATAACTATATCTAAGGTAAGTGTGCTCCAGGTTCCTGGGTAGACTTATGTGTATCAGTCATTTTATTTTACACGCTCCATAGGGAGCTGTTGGAGTAATATACAGAATGACTAAATGTGAGGTAAGTGTGTTCCCAGCTTCTAGGCAGATGTATGTGTGTCAGTAATTTTATTTTACAAGCTCTATATAGAACTACTGGAGTAATACGAACAATAACTACAGTATATGTGAGGTAAGTGTGTTCTCAGTTCTTGGGCAGATGTATGTGTCAGTAGTTGTATTTTACAAACTTTATAGGGATATATTGGAGTCCCATAAATAATAATTATATGTGAGGTAAGTGTGTTCTTAGATCCTTGGCAGACGTACAGTATATGTGTCAGTAATGTTATTTAAGGGATATGATGGAGTCCTATAGATCGGGCCTTGAAATTTCCACTCGCCAATGGCGAGTAGAAATTGTGGTGGGGCGAGTGTGTCCCCAGGGCCATCTTGCTGAGCAAGCTCGGAACTCAGGGCCAGATCTGTCACTCGCACTGGGAGCCGTTAGACTGCTCAATAGCTGAGCGCAGTGAAAGCAAAGGAAGGAGTGTGTGCTGTGCTCTCTGCCTCCCCCTAGAGTGCAGTACCCGGCTCTGTGAGTGAACAACGAAGTACTGCAACTTTTCATAGGGCTGTGTGTGTGTGTATTTGTATGTGTGTGTGTATTTGTGTGTGTATGTATCTGTGTGTGTTTGTGTATACATGTACATGTGTCTGTGTGCGTGTACATGTGTGTGTGCATGTACATGTGTATGTACGTATATGTGTCTGTGTGTATGCACATGTATGCGTGTCTGTACGTGTCTGTGTGTGTATACATGTGCCTGTATGTGTGTGTGTACATGTGTCTGTGTGTGTATGTATGTACATTCTGTGTGTGTGTACAGGTGTCAGTATTTGTGGGTGTGCATGCATGTACATGTGTCTGTATGTAAACCTACATGTATGGGTGGTTTGGTCAGGTTCAGGATGACGTGGTTATTATGGTGGTAGAGTATGGGGCATTTGAGGTACTGTTGGGTTGGATAGTAGGTAGGATATGCTTGGTAGAGTTATGGTTTTGTGAGTGAAAGATTATAGGGGGTTATGGTTGTATGCGGTGCATGGTCTAAGTATGATGGAGTCTTTAGGGGGACATTGGAGGCCCTGATGTAATGTGGGGGGACTCTGATGTAATGTGGGTAACATTTAACAGTGTCATTTCATAAAATAATTTACGAGGGCGTTTAGGGGCGGAATTAGGGGTGTAGCAGGGTAGGGGTTGGGTGAGGCAACTGGTGGCGAGTGTCAAGGTCCTACCTTTTCCCTGAGGTTATGTTACTCCATGTGCTGGCGTCCATCTTGGATTTTGCTGTGCATGATGGGAATCCTTTTATGCCTTCAGGTTTCTGTGGTCCATCCCCCAGAGGGGTGTGGCTGATGACATATAAGCCTGTGGCCCGCACATGCTCTTTGCACTTGTGTCTTTGTGTCGCTATTACTCTGTTCTGACTCTCGTGACTCTCCTGGTATCTGATTCGGCTTGTACTTGACTATTCTTTGTATTCTCCTTTGATCTGACCCTCTGTTGCTGAACCCGGCTCGTGACCTGTGATTCTCGTCTGCTGTACTGTACTGTTTTGTCCTGTTGTTGTTGACCCCGGCTTGTCTGACTACTCTTTTGTCTCTTCCACCAGCTACACGCCATTGGCGGCGGCCATTACCGCAGCTGAGGTGTCTCGGGGGCCGCGACCTGGTTCCTGGCTGCGTCAAGTCCATCCCCACCATCAGGTGCCCTGGTGAAGGGCAGCCTGGGACTTAGACTCTGCGCCCTGAGGGACTTCGGTCTGTGGGTGGTGGTTGTCGTCAGCCAGTGCGTTACATTGTTAGGCCTGCCTGTCCGTTCCTCAGCTCCTGCCCTGACAGCGAGTAACTCTTAAGGCCTGGCTAGTAGCTCAGGACTTGAAATTTTAAGCCCTGCTATAGATAATAACCATATATGAGGTAAGTGTACTTCCAGTTCCTGGACAGACTTATGTGTGTCAGTAATTTTATTTTACAAGCTCTATAGGGAATTAATACAAACAGTAACTGTATGTGAGGTACAGTTAGGTCCATATATTTGCACACAGGCACAATTTTAATTTTGTTTCAGGTATTTACCAAAACATGTTCAAGCTTTAGTTATATAATGGATATGGGCTGAAGGTGCACACTCTCAGGTCTAATTTGAGGGTATGTACATCCAAATTGGAGGAAGGGTTTAGTAATTACAGCTCTTAAGAGTAGCCACCCCCCCCCCCCTTTTCAAGGGACCAAAAGTAACTGGACAATTGAGTATAATCATAAATAAAATGTTAATTTTTAATATTTTGTTGAGAATCCTATACTGGCAATGACTTCCTGAAATCTAGAACCCATGGACATTACCAAAGACTGGGTTTCCTCCTTTCTGATGCTTTGCCAGGCTCTGACTGCAGCTGTCTTCAGTTGTTCTTTGAATGTGGGGTTTTCTGTCTTTAGTTTTACCTTCAGCAAGTCAAATGCATGCTCAGTTGGGTTGAGATCAGGTGATTCACTCGGCCATTGCAGAATATTCCACATCTTTTCTTTCAAAAGCTCCTGGGTTGCTTTTGCAGTGTTTTGGATCATTGTCCATCTCTACTGTGAAGCGCCGTCCAATCAACTTTGCTGCATTTGGCTGAATCTGGGCTGACAGTATCTCTCTAAACACTGCAGAATTCATCTGGCTGATTCTGTCTTCTGTCACATCATCAATACACAACAATAGCCCAGTGCCACTGAAAGCCATGCATGCCCATGCCATCACACTGCCTCCGCCATGTTTTACAGATGACGTTCTGTGCTTTGGATTATGAGCTGTTCCAAGGCTTCTCCACACTTTTTTTCTTCCCATCATTCTGGTACATATTAATCTTGGTTTCATCCATCCAAAGAATGCTTTTCCAGAACTGGTCTGGCTTTTTTAGATGTTTGTTGGTAAAGTCTAATCTGGCTTTTCTATTCTTCAGTCTTATGAATGGTTTGCACCTTGTGATGAACCCTCTGTATTTGCTCTCGTGAAGTCTTCTCTTTATTGTAGAGTTTGACAATGATATGCCAAACTCCTGAAGAGTGTCCTTCACTTGTCTGGATGTTGTGAATTGGTTTTTCTTTACCATAGAGAGGATCCTGCGATCATTTACCACTGTTGTCTTTTGTGGACGTCCGTGCCTTTTTATATTGCTGAGCTCACTAGTGCATTCTTCTTTCCTTAGAATGTTCCAGACTGTTGATTTGTTCACTCCTAATGTTCCTGATATCTCTCTGATGAATTTGTTTTGTTTTAAAGCCTTACACTGCTCTGTTTCACTTGCATGGACAGCTCCTTTGAACGCATGATGTAGGTTCATGGCAATAGATTCCAAATGCAAATACCACACTTAGAATCAACTCCAAACCTGCTTAATTGATGAAGAAATAATGAAGGTGTAGCCCACACCTGGCCATGAAACAGCTTTTGATTCAATTGTCCAATTATTTATGGTCCCTTGAAAAAGGGGGGATGGCTACTCTTAGGAGCTGTAATTCCTAAACCCTTCCTCCAATTTGGATGTACATACCCTCAAATTAAACCTGAGAGTGTGCACTTTCAGCCCATATCCATTATATAACTATAGCTTGAATATGTTTTGGTAAATACCCGAAAAAAACTAAAATTGTACCTGTGTCCAAATATATATGGACCTAACTGTGTGTTCTCAGTTCCTGGGCAGACTTGCATGTGTCAGTCATTTTATTTTACAAACTTTATAGGGATAAGTTGGAGTCCTAAAGATAATAACTTTGGAATAATATACATAATACATACACGCAGCTTTTGGAGTAATATATACATAATGACTAAGTGTGAGGTAAGTGTGTTCCCTGTCCTTGGGCAGACTTATGTGTCAGTAATATTTTCCAAGCTCTATAGCATCTTGGGCAGATGTATGTGTGACAGATATTTTATTTAACAAACCTAACAGGGATATGTGGGAGTGCTATAGATAAAAACTTTGGAGTAATATGCGTAATAACTATATTTGAGGTAAGTGCGTTCCCAGTTCCTGGGTAGACCTATATTTGAGGTAAGTGCGTGCCCAGTTCCTGGGCAGACCTATATTTGAGGTGTGTTCCCAGTTTTTGGGCAGACCTATATTTGAGGTAAGTGCGTTCCCAGTTCGTGGGCAGACCTATATTTGAGGTGTGTTCCCAGTTCCTGGGCAGACCTATATTTGAGGTGTGTTCCCAGTTCCTGGGCAGACCTATATTTGCGGTAAGTGCGTTCCCAGTTCCCGGGCAGACCTATATTTGAGGTGTGTTCCTAGGTAGACCTATATTTGAGGTAAGTGCGTTCCCAGCTAGACCTATATTTGAGGTAAATGTGTGCCCAGTTCCCGGGTAGACCTATATTTGAGGTATTTTCCCAGTTTCTAGGTAGACCTATATTTGAGGTAAGTGTGTTGTTCTCAGTTCCTGGGCAGACTTGTGTCAGTTATTTTATTTAACAAACTTTCTATTGATATGTTGGAGTGTTAAAGTTTATGTAAGTGTGCTCCTGGGCGGACTTGTGTGTGTCAGTATTCGTATTTAGTAAACTTTCTAGGGCTCCTATAGATAATCTGGGTATGTGAGGTAAATGTGTTCCGTGTCCATGGAAGGGGTCCATGTGGCGGGAGTGTATGTTGGAGGGAGAGCAGCGTCGCTCCTCCATGTGTGTTCCTCCATGTGAGCTCCCAGTCCCCGGGCAGACTAGTGTTGTGTCAGCCATAGTCCCTCCCTCTCTCTCTCTGACACAGTCTCTGTGTGTGTATCTCCTCCATTCCCCCTGTCATCCCCCCTCCCCTCCGGCCTCTCTCACACACTCCGTGTGTTGTCACTGCTGCCACCCCCACTCCGCACAGCTCGGTGCCCCGGGACCTCAGGACGTACGATTCCAACCCGGCCAAGGTAAGGGCGTCCAGCACCGGCCCCGGGGGCCGCCCCTCCCCCTCCCGGGCTCCTCATTCACTACAGCGGCGCAGCGCAGAGGGCACTGGGGGGTAGGGTGGGGAGGTCCCGGGCAGTAGATATGATGGCAGATTCCTTCGGCGAGGACTGTAGGGTACGAGGGACAATCATGTGTCTTCATAGCTCCCCCTCTATGAGAATGGCTGCCCTTGCCCTTTCACCTCGCTAGGCTGAGGGGGCCGGCAGGCCAGGGGTTAAGTTGGTCCTCCATGGCAGAGGCCGGCGGTGCCTGGTGACCATCGGCGGTGTGAGGAGGGGAGAGGAGCCCGGGTGGTGGTGGGGGATGGCTCGGTGTCATCAGGGCCTACATGTTTGTTGTGGAAGGCAGTCCAATGTGTATGGGAGGGGAGACTTCACCGATCCCTCCCCGGCTGTGTGTGTGTGATGGGGGCACTGCGGGCATGACACCCCAATCACCGGGAGGGGGAAATGGGGACTTTATGTTCAGGGATGAAGTTTGTTGTCACTTCTGCAGACGAGTCTGGTTGTAGGTCTACTTTCACTTCATCAGCATGGAGGAGGCTCTCCACCATTAACATCATCATTATAATCAACCCCTGATAGGACCGAGCTGGGCTCCCTTGAGTAATGTGTCTGGGTGTAAATATATGGGGAGAGAGGGGTCAGGACTGGAAGGAAGGCTGCTGTCGTCATCATCATTATAATAGCAGTAGGTAGGTGGACTGTATGTGTGGACCTCTCCAGCCTGCAGACATGGATCTTCTCTAAGTGCTGGTCCTCTGATCCCAGTGATGGTCAACTTATGACCAGACTCAGGTGTGGCCCTCAACATTACCAAAGGGCCACACATAAAATTCATTGTCAGAGACAACACACAACAGGATATAGTCAAAG